TGACGGGATGGATCACTTGATGATTACCTGTTCTGTTCATTCCCTCTGAAGCACCTGACATTGGCCACTGTCTGAAGACAGGAGGCTGGGCTGGATGTAGGAGTGCTGGAACAATGTTCATAGTGAAGGTGCTGAGAGCCAATGAACCAAACTGTAAACCCTGTATATAATGGAAACCTCTTCAAGCCAGGGGGTGCGGTAGCACCCCTCGTTCCAATACGTATGGCTGGAGGGACCATTGGTCTGACCCAATTTGGACATTCTTATATTCTTTTCTCCTCTTTACTGGGTAACTTCCCCATGCCCCCAACACCTCACTATCTTTTCTTCTTTTAAACAGGGTTCCTGCCCATCCCCAGCCTTGTGTAATAGTACCCATGGGATGTGACAGGAATATTAACCTTTTGTCCTGACCCATGTCGGCTGTCTGAGGCTAAGAAATAAATACTGGGCTCTTACCAGAGTTCATGCAAATCACACCTCGCAGGATCCCCTTCCAGGCTGTTTCTCTAAACCTTGTGCCCCCTTCCACCTTCCAAGCTCCCCTTTTCTCAATCCTTGTCATCCCTTCCAGACTTTTTCTTCCTCCTCCTCCAGGCAACAACTCATGTGATGCTCCTAACAGCAATGAGCCAGGCTGGGGATTCAAAGCAGCATGTGGTGCCCTACAGCAATTGGGAGCAGAAAGCAGTTTCATTCTCCATCACAGCCTGGGAGGCAGAAGGGCAGCCATCAGGGGTGGGAGGGCCACTGCTCTTTGGCCACACTGGTACTGCTGCAGCTGTGCACAGCAGAATAGGAGGGAAAGAAATTAAGGAAGCCATAAGGCAGAGAGGAGAAGGGTCTGTAAACCTGCAGGGCGGGAACTTTGGCACCCTCTGTACTGTAGCACCCTAGATGGCCGCCCATTGGTAGAACATTGTGTTTTTTGCCAATGGGAAAGAACATGAAATAAAATAAAAAATTCACCCCACAGCAGTGGCTCCTGCCCCATGGGGCTGGGCTCAGCTGCCTGCTCCAAGCGATAGCATTCAACATAATATTTAAGAGCCGGTGTTCAGCTGAATACACTAAAAGTGGGTTTGTTACAGATCTGCTTTCTGTAACAGGAAACTTGGTTCTTAGAGGAGATGCTAGCTGACAGGGTTCATAGTTCTGAGGAGACACGGAGATGCTGAGTGGTTTTGGCAGTTAGTGAGGGAGTGGGGCATAAGCATAGCTACCTGTTTACTAAGATGTGAAGACTGCAAGAAAGCGTAAGACGTATTGCAATGCCCGCCATTCAGTGCCCTGGGTGCTGTACCAAGGCATTAAAGATTTCCCATCCACACAAACAAATTACTGCCCATCCACCTGCTCCAGAACCCTCATTAACCCATCAACCCCATAAAATCTCCCTCAAACCAGAGAAACACACAGTATTGCAGTAAATCCTTAACTCTGGTCTCCAGCAAACTGGGGCAAGCATTCCAGATTTGAGGATACCTCACTGAGGAGTCCCAGCTCTCAGGGTGACTTTTGGCCCCATCACATTGCCTCAGCTAATTGCAGCTGGTGTGATGTATCCTATGAGGGGAGGGGCAATCTTCTATAGCACCCAGAATCCAAACTCTTTAGAGCATTACAGGTCAAAACCTACAATTTAATTTAGCCACAGCTATAAAAACACCCAATGTTAGTTTTTACAGCAATTGGCTCAGTAACTCAAAAGGCATGCAATGCAGCCTCCTGACTCCGGGGAGTGCGCTGGTACCCTTTCGGGTCAGGCTGGAGGCTGCATCTCTGTCTTTTCTGAAACTGAGTCTGCTCCCTCTCCTGCTGCTTGGAGTAGTTGAGAGCAAAAGCCAGCTGCAGGTTCCCTGTCTGTCCACCATCAGCAGATTCTCCCCTTCCTTCCACCCAGGTGATGGGTAGAGGACAGGGACAGTGGGGCTTTAGAGAGGGAGGGGGCTGGGTTGCAGAGCAAGCCTGCTCCTGTCCTGCAGGGTTGGGCCTGGCTCCCTGCTCTGGGCATTCTGACCTGGAGCGTGGGGTCACAGTGCCACTCAGGTTTGCTCATTGAGTTGGTGAGATTTCATAATAGCAGTGAGATTTGCTAGAACGATAGTGTGATGTTTCTACTAATAAATAGGGAAGCCAGAGCACAAAATATTAGCTTCAGAGAGAGTCCAAGAAACCGCCTTCATTTTCCTCTTGCATCCAATTCCACTGGCTTTCTTCCTGAGTTACAGAATTCCTTCCTATAAAATCAAGGGACAGTATGTGATTTGCCCTACAGACTTGTTCCCTCCCCCTCCTCCCCACTTTATCTTCCTGCTTCGGCAACTTCACTTTTTCCTGTCTGACTCCTGTGGTTTCAACCCCATACAACTCTTCTCTGCTTTTGACTATCTCCTCTAAACTCAATATCCATGATACTACCCTGTTTATCCAGGATCTTGCCAGTTTCTTCCAGGAAAAATGGATTCTTTCTAGCTGGAGTTTTCCTGACCCGGAGAGACCTCTCTTACTCTCAGTTTCTGATTCCTCAGCCTATTGTTTTATCACCTCCTCTCATTTTCTGACTCACTTTCTCCTCTCATCTTTTCCCTTATTCTCAACTTCTTTCACCTGGCTCCTTTTCTTCAGGCCTCATCTATCCTCTTGTAGCTCTTATCCTAAAAAAACTTCTCCTTTCACCTTCCCTTACTTGCTCATCCAACTATCACTCTATTTCCTTTCTCCACACTGTCTCAGAGATCTGTAAGCACATTTCTGCTCTCTGTTCTGGCATGTGTGCCTAGCAATTCAGTTTCTGTGCCATACGCTCCACTGAAACTCTTCATACCAAAATCACCAGTAACCTCCCGACCAAAACCGACAACCTTTTCTGTGCTTTCATCTCCTTCAGTCCATTCACCATCCTCAGTCAACAGGAATCCAAAATCTTCATGATCTACCATTCCTGTCTTCAGATTGCTGTGATTCTGAACTGTCCTGGTTTTCCTGCTTCTCCAAATATTCCTAACCCCCCTCTTGACAATCTGTTGAGATCCCTGTCCCCTCTGTTTACTTTAACCTTTGGATAGCTTCCTTTTTTCTCATGCCTTCATCTGTATTGATGACTTCCAAATCTACCTCTGATCTTCCCAACTCCAGTGTATCCCTACCTTCAGTCTCACGTCTCTGAGTCTCCATCTCCCCCTGGATGTCCCAACACCAACTCTCAGCATAGCAAAAATTGAACTCCCTCTCTACCATCTCCCTCCTTTCTTTATGCACATCAAATTCCATTATCCTTCTAGTCATTCAGGCACACAATCTTAGTGTAGTGTTCAATTCCTCTTCCCATACATCCATCCTGTCACCAAATCCTGTCTGTTTCTTTATCCCATCTCTAAACAACAACATTTACCCTCCATTTCTCTCACAGGGGGAATTTTCTAACCACTTTATATATAAGATTATTCTGATTCAGATTGCATTGACCCTTTTTGTGGAGGCAGTGCATTACCATGGTGGGAGGAGGTACAAATGCAGTCTTCCCTGCTTACGTCTGATCTATTGCAGTCTGTGACGTTCTGGAAGTTCTTGGTAGGTCTGGGTTGAGACTTGACATTTTGACCCGTGATCTTTCTGATTGGTAAAAGATTGTGGGAAGACTTTGCATAGAGGTTATCAGTGCTTCTCTTTTGGAAAGCAAAGTGGTAGCGGCCCTTAAATGAGCAGTTGTTAAGAAATGGCTATGTAAGTATTATTTTGACAACTGCAGCTGTCGCTCACCTTTCTTCCTGAGAAGTTATTGAGAAGGGTCTTGGAAGGCAACTTGGGCAGTGATTGGAATCGTCAGAGTTTCTGGACCTCTACTAGCCTGGTTTAATTCTTAAGCATAGAGTATGCACCGGTCTTATAGGTCAGTTGTTTTCTGGCACTGAACAACAATCAAGTGGCCATTCTGATTCTTTAGCTCCCTTTGGTACCATCGTTGCTAGTACTGAAACAGCAGGTGGATTCCAGGAGTAAGGGTCTGTACAGTAGGAGGCTACAAAGGGGGCAGTAAGGAATGTGGCTTGCGTGAAGCTAAGGGGCAGACCTGGAAAACAAAAGGAGACAACAGTAGGTAAGTTCAATTTCTTTCCCCCAGGGTCTAGAGAATGGTATTGGATCAATGCCCTAGTTGCTCTTCAGTCCTGAGGGATTTCTTACGTGGGCAGGATTCCATTCTGGCACCTCTTCTGCTCAGTGTGAGGCTAGCAGGGGAGACTGAATACCTCCATTATATGATTGACACTTGCCTCTATATTGTCATTTCATTCAGCCCAAACGGCGTGGGTGATGGACTCTCTCATTTCTTGGCTGAGACTGAGCCTAGATTATTGCTAGCTGTCCAGGCTCAACCACAGGAGTTGGAGGAAGGGGTTATCAGCCTTCTTCCTTGAGGAGGTTTATCTTTCCCTTTTAGCAAAGTGTTATGATGTGGCTGCCGTTGGCTATTCGGATAGCAGCAGTAGCCAAGAGTGTTTTTTTCCCCATCAAAGCCTAGCTGGAAGATTGGTGCTGCTATTCCTTTTGATACAGACCTTACCCTGGACAACCATAGCTCTTTCACCTCCAAACCAGATTCATCTCTGAGGAGTTACATTTGAAAGTCACTCACAAACCTGAGCTGGTGCAGAGTGCAAATCCTCCCTCAATGAGCAATATTTTACAGGTATAAATGTATTAGGTTAGACTGTAACCGCAGCATTGAGTAAAAGGAAAAGTTGGTGAAAATGTAACAGAAGCCAAAATACATACTAGCTGGAAGGACAGGGAAGCAGTCAGCTACAAAATGGCCATTTTAGGGTTGCATCTGGTTGTTTCTCCCAGATGTAAAACATCAGTTACTGGAAAGGAGTATGCTAGGAAGAAAGCACACATTAAACCTAAACAAAAACAATAATTCTCCATTTAGAATATAAAGAAATACCTTTCCAGAAACACTTCCAAATGGCTGCTGTTCCCTTTCTCCTTTTTTATAGGAAAAGACCAGAGAAAAAAGGAGAAGGCACAAGGAGAAGCAGAAAAGCTCACCAAGACAAAAAGCCCACAACGGGGAACAGCTGCTCTTTCACAACTTGAAGCTTCTTGGTATAATTTCTCCTTATGTCCTGCAAACAAACAAGTAATTTTATGCACAGAAGTCCCAGTGAAGTCAATGGGACTACACGTGAGTCATATGTATTTACAGGACTGAGCCACTGGATTACTAGAAGGGATTCCTGGCTTTTATTTACCTGCAAAGCATGATGCGCACCTGTGTAAATAACAAGTGAGCACTCTACGATCGCCTGCAAAGTGATCCTCCCTTTTCAATTTGTTCAGTGGGAGACAAAGGGCACCTACCCATAGATCACCACTCCGTTCCTCACCGGGCTATCAAAAAGACTTAATATACAGGACAGTACTATAGCACACATCCATACATCTCAGTTTTTTAACAAAGGAATTATCCCTTTTTACAGATGGAGTAATTTAACTGCTCTGGGCTTCAAGGATTTACCCAACATTACCCAGGGCAGGGTTACAAACAACCATTTTGAATTAGGTAGGTAACCCAGCTTCGCCTATTGCATGCTGCTCATCCTCTTTCTTAAGCCCTCTTCCATCTCATCTTCAACATAATACAGATAATTTGTATGTGGGAATGGACAGTGAAATTGTCTCATCAAAGAGAGTGTAATGGAGGCCTTGATTTTTTTGTATGAGAGGGTAACATATTAAGTGTATCTCACCTAATTTTGGATAGATCATGCATACAATTTAAAATGTATTAATTTCTCTTTTATTTTATTTTATTTTTGAGGGAAGCGGAGGTGTCTAGAAATGGTGACTCCAAGTACTTTGGATTTGGGTACAGATATTCCATTTGGGACTGTCACATTGTTACATAAATAAAATTCCCACTATAAAATGGCTGAATTTCAGACTTTTTTGTTTGTTTGTATCTGCTACCGTCTATTTTGCAAGGTCTCCCAACACTCACAGCCAGCATCTCTTGTGAGGGCCAGCAGAAGCGGCAACTGTTTCCCAGCATCCTCTGCTTCCACAGAACAGTGGTAAAGGACATAGGATGTTTTCATGGGAAATGGATAGAGGGGCACTCTTATTTGTTTTCACAGCACACCTCTGAACAGTGTGCAGTGTTTGATAAGGACTTTTTAAATTCTTTTTGGTGGGGTGGGAGGCCGGGTGAACAAATTTGAGAGAAGAAGGCTGGCTATAAATGTTACCAGATGCTAAGATAAAAAGAATACTGGGCAAAGCTGGCTTATCTTTGAATTTGTAAGAAAGTTTAAATTTAATTTAGGGCTGGAATGTGCTTTGCTCCTATTTCCTAATGATAGGCTGGGACTGAAGTCACTCCAGTGATATCATGTAGAGCACTAGACAGTAGCTCAAGTAGCAGCAGCTCAGTGCTGAGACACTGTCACAACTAAAGTAAAAATCGCCCTCCCCCACATTCTCTATCTCCATAATGGAGAGGCAGGGTGAATTAGACTCCCAGCACTACATATGTAGATGTTGCCCTCTAAGCTAGCTCCTGATCATTGCGGGAGAGGAGCCAACGTGTTAATAAAGTCACAATCGAGCAGTGAGAAATAAACTAAGAAAAATGTTTAAATTTGTGTGAGGATAGGATGAGGCAGTTCTTGCCCTTCCCATATATCTGGCACTATTTGCAGCTCATCTCACCAGTGTAAATGCAACAGCCTTCTCTACTGCAATGCCTGAAACAACTTCTCTAAAGCCATCTGCCTGCCCACCTCATTTAAGACCTCTATTTTCCCCCTTTTGTGTGGAAATACTAAGTATTAGTAATTATATTTGTTACAGCATTTCTTCTCCTGCTAAACAACTGAATCCCAACCCAGTATAAATGATGCGCATAGTCTCTAGAGAGCTAGCCTTAAAGGTTCAATAAAGCCAACATTACAAAGCAGGTTATTAATTCAGATAAGCTGTGCAGTAATATTACACAGCTGGAAATGACCATATTACATATTTCACTGTATCTCTGAAAACACAGGGCTTCTGGGGATTAGCTCCTACCACTAATGTACATGTAATTTATACTTTTACACTGCATTTGCAAAACGTGACACTATACTGCTATGTCTACACTAGAAAATCCTACTATGTTTGACAAAGGAGTTAAACATCTGGCACTGACCACTGTCAGAAGACAGGATGCTGGGTTAGGCAGACCATTGGTCTGACCCAGTATGGCCATTCTTGTGTTTAAGGCTTCTCTAGACCCGGAGAGGATCAGATGATTCCCCCCCAGACAGTAACTGCTCTGTGCCATAAACTTCAGAGTCTAGGTGTTAAGAGGGCTTTTAAATGCTGTTTAGCCCTGACAAAGACTCTTTACAAGTCTACAAATCTGTTTGTTTCCTTAGACAAAACAAGGCTGTAAGAGCTTCTAGAGCAATAATTTCTTGGTGAAATAAAAACTGTCAATATGAGCAGACGACCCCTGTACCTCAACATTAGTTTGTACATGCTGTACAACAGACAAATCACTGCTCCCTCTGAGGCAGAGAGGGCAATGGATTTAGGGGCACTATATCAGCCCCTCCCTTCACCCTAGGTCTGAAACAGTTCCAAAATCTATTGCCGTTCAGGACACGCTGCATAGTCCATTTATTTGAACAAGCATTTGGGGATGTGGGTGGAATGTAAGTATTTTTCTCCAAAGCTTCAGGGTGGGGCTGTTTTGTTAAGGGTTCTTGCTGTTTAGGGAGGGAGTTGCTGCTTCTTTGTTTTGACTGGTGTTTTTAATGGTTGTCAGGGCACCTTCTGGGATAGTCATCCTTTAAAATGTTAAATTTCAATAAATGATATGGATCTAGTTTCACTCTTTGTAGCTCGCTGCTGTCTAGACCTATCGCCATTCCACAAGGCTGACTTTGATTAGAGTTTTCCAAACTGCTACTCAAGAAAAGTTCACCTCCTTGTTCTTGCTGCTTCTCATTCCTAGCTATTATTCACAGTCTTGTATTGAAAGCTAGAAAAAAAGGGGTCAGACAACAAAGGGAGAATTCCCTACCAGTAACTGTGTGTGTTGCCATCCTCCCTTATTTAATCCTTGTCTGTCTATCTATCTAATCTTGCTATCTAAAATGTTTGTCTGTTACATTTTTCCTTGAGAGAACGAGGGTGGAGAGTGGATAATTACATACGGCACCTGGGATCGGTAGTGTCATTTTAGCTCCCACTTTTTAGTGGTGCTGCTGGCTTTAATGCTTGGTGTGTGGAGTATTGGTTTGTTTTCCATTAATACTGATGATAACCCGTGCCCTTGTGGCACATCAGCCCTAAATTCTGCAGCAAGGGTGCCTAATTTCTGACATGGTGCTGAATCTTGTGGTAGCATAAAAGGCACATTAAAAATTGAGGTTATATTGAATATTAAAATAGCATTAAACTGACACTGCAATACTGAGTTTAATATAAACCTCGAAATTTGAATGGCTTTCCATACATTTCAATCTGCAGTGCAATTTACAGCTCACTGTGGAATGCAAGACAGGTGTATATATAGAGGCAGAAATTAGGAGCCCTTACTCCAGATACTACCCAGATCAACAGTGCTAAACTTGGGATGGGAAATGGGGCCTAAGCCCCTTCTCTCTGATTGCATCAAGGCAGTAGGATTCCATGTTCCTTAATTTCCTATCGACTGGGAAAATGAGAAGACTATAACCCATCCATTCATCCCAGCTCCAGAGTGAAGGGCTCTGAAAAATCACCTACAGCTTTTCTGCAAAGGCTCTAACTCTTCCTTGACACAGGAATACTCATGTTGTGTCAGACCAGCGGTCCATCTAGTCTAGTATTCTGTTTCACAGTGAAGAGAACCAGATGATTCAGAAGGTGCGAGAACCCCATCATGAACAATTACAAAATAACTTGCCTACTGAGGAAGTTTCTTCCTAATCCTTGTCAGTTAGAGGCTGTTTTATGTCCTGGAGCATGAGGGTTTATAATTCTCATATAACATTTTATCTTGTCTAATATAACTATTATTTGTATTACAGGAGAACATAGAGTCCTGGAGATTGCTTGCTAGGCATTGTCCCTGCCCTGAAGAACTCATCATTACTACAGGTAAAAGGTGGGAGAAAGTAAATATTCTCCCCATTTTTATATCTGTGAACTTGAGGCAAGGAGATATTAAGTGACTTGTCCAAGGTTATGTAAGTAGGCTGTGGCAGTTCTAAGAATTTAATCGAGACCTCCTGGGCTCCTGTTCTCATTAGCCATACCAATGTCTAATCCTTTTTTGTACTCTGTTAAGCTCTTGGCTTTAATATATTGTGGCAATGGTTTCAGCTATTAATTGTAAAAAATACTTTCTATTCTTTATTTTAAATCTGCTGTATTTCAATTTCACTGCACTGTTGTAATATTAAAAAGGATTAATAGAACACAATTTACTTTCTGCACATTCTTTATTTTGTATATATCTGTGACATGTCCCTTTTGTTTGTCTCCTTTCTAAACAATTCTACTCTTGGTTTCCGGGTGTTTCCTCTTCTAGCCTCCCACAGACATAAGTTACACATTTTTTGTAAAATGGTTTGTCCAAAGACAGTGTAAATCTCCAATTTAGAATGTTGTGTTAAAAACAGAAAAATATGATTGTCTCCATTTGTGTGTGTAACCAGAATGGAGTATTTTAAAATAAAATTTGTTCTAGCTACCTTCCCTCAAGACCAAACCAGCTGATCTGACTTGCATTTAAAACCCTGGGTGTGTCAACTGACTGAGTCTAGTACTGACTCCCATCTCAGTTATACCTCCATACAGTAGTCTGGGGAGAGCACACCCCATTTTCCATGTTTATTCTTCTTACATGTGAGGCTACCGGCTGGATGGTGACCGAGAAGGAATGGAGTCAAGTAGAAGGGTAGGCAAATCACCCATTCCTCAAAGCTGTGTGGAGCTTTTAACAAACTGAGGCAAGAGGCCAGTTTTCATTCTTTGCTGCTGTCTGGGGGTATAGATCAGTCAACTTTTAATGAGTACACCCAAATTATTTATTATTTGTATTACCGCAGCAGCACCTAGGAGCTCCAGTCATGGACCAGGACCCCATTGTACTAGATGCTGTTCAAACAGCGATATCTTTCCTTTGTATTGCTATTCAAATAACAAGCAATATGTTTCAAGTGGGGCCCCATTGTGAGGAGAAGGGACAGAATGTTAGCATTGATGTTCTGGAAGGTTCTGTGCCATTTGGGATGGAAAGAGATGCCTCAAGGAAGCAGAATGAAAGCAGCAGTCTCCACTCTCTTCCCCCCAACCTATGGAGGAGACAGATCAGAAACAGGCAGTGAAAGAAGGTTCATAGGAAGCAAGGTAAAGTGTGTGGAGCAGCTGCAAAAGGGAAGTTAAAGTACGCTGTAGCTGGGGAAAAGAAGAGGGACAGCAAAAGAAACAACCAATGGAACTAGGGAGGAAAGAGAACAGAGAAAGAAAAACAAAACTGCCCTACCTCATCCCCAGATAAGTGATCTGCTCTTTGTTACTGCTGGTTCATTGAGTGTACGAAGAGATTGAACTGCTGCATAACCACTCTTATTTAAATATGAAGAGTCAGCGTTAAGCAATTGCAGATACTATTATAAAAACTGTTTTTTCACAGTTGAATCGTCTTGAAGTCAGTCATTCATTTTGTGACGGATAAACAGGTTTAGTGGTTATTACTACAAATTCTGAGGTATGTATGGATTCTGCTGTGGGTGATTTGGGGCTGCAGCCATGACTCCTAGAATCAGGGACTCCAAATAATCTATTCTTTAATTATCATCCATCCTTAATTAAATGCATGTAGAATTCTTAAATGCAGGCAGGCAGCTTGTCCAGTGGGCAGTAAATAATATTTGTCATCTGGACTAGGTTTTTGGGCCGTTGGGCAATAGTATATGGGTATGCCTAACCTACCCAGACATAATCAAACAGGGAGGAGGGTGAGTGTAGACTTCTTATCTCCCCATCGTGCTGTCCACCTGGTATTTAAAGGAAAGAGAGGATGCCTGCAGCAGAGGACTGAAACATTTTTGTAATTTGCACTCCACTCCTTGACTTGAACCTATGCCCAGGCAAAATGAAGCACTGATTGGAGCAATGTCTCTGCGCAGCGTAGGCATGAGAAAGCCAATCAGAGCAGGGCATAGACTTCTGCACCAAGCCCTCTATCAGCAGCAATTTCTGGAAGGCACAGGGCTCTGGTGACAGAAGAATGGTGTTGTGACCCGTAATCTAATCTTCCCATAAGAACTCATTCGTTTGGAGGAAGAGGAACTGCTGGAAATAGTCCCAAGGAGTCACACAAATACAGTTCTCCTGGAAGTTATTGGGATGAAGTCTCCCACTAGAAAGTTTTGTTTTGTTTTTTTACTGAGCCACTTCCCCCACTTTAGAGACAAGCTTCTAAAGACTTCCGCACATGTACTGAACAATAAACCATTGCACACTGTATAACTCACAACCTGAAAATGCTATAATACATGGTAACTCTTACTGAAAGGGCGGGGTCTTTAGGACTGCTGGATTCTTGTTAGAAAACAAATTTAGAAGTAACTGCCAGACAATTGTTGTGCCCAGGATTTTTAAATGCATACCAGACCAGCAGCTAGTTCTTGAGGTAACTTCCCCCTATCCCATTCTCATATAGAAGATAGGCTGGAGGAAGAGGAACTGTTAGCAATTAGAAAACAGAAAGAAATGGAGGTCAGATAAGAGGAAGAAATAGGAATGTGAAGAAAGCATAGCACACTGCAAAATTCAACAAGTGAAAGACATCCACCTTATAGACAGCCATGTTGCTGCTGTCCACATCATGTAATAAAACACTTTCTCATTGCCCATGTGGTAGCCACTGTACTAGCTGAATATGTCCTAATCCCCGATAAAGGAGTTTTACATGATCTTTTGTAAGACTAGCTGATTAAAAAAAAAAGTTACCTTTCCGTAACTGGTGTTCTTTGAGATGTGTTGGTCATGTCCATTCCACATTAGGTGTGTGTGTTCGCCACATGCACCGGTGCCAGAAGTTTTCCCCTCAGCAGTATCCGTAGGGGACCAGCTCTGGTGCCCTCTGGAGTAGCACCCACATGGCATGGTATAAGGGGCGCCACCGGCTCCCCCCACCCTCAGTTCCTTCTTGCCGGAAACTCTGACAGTGGAGAAGAAGGGCGGGTCATGGAATGGACATGAGCAACACATCTTGAAGAACACCAGTTACAGAAAGGTGAAACAGGGAGTGCCATTGGTTTTGCTCCTGACAGGGCCTGAGCAAGGGCTCCCTCTCAGATGCCTTCCTCCTGTCATGCGCCGCGGACTGCCACATATTAAAATTGTAGTGGCCAAGGAGGGCCTGGTGGTTGGCCACCCTCAAGTGTAAGCTAGATGAGTCTCCTGGAGTCTTTATTTTTGGTGGTAGCTTCGGGTTGCCTCTGGCATTCCCTGTGGTTAACTGCCTCAACCACTGGGGAATTTGGGGCAGGACTGGAGTAAAGGTATTCGTTCCCCTTAGTTGGGACAAAGTACTTACGCTCTGCTCGTTTAGAAATGGGGGGCAGAGAGGAGGGGGTTTGCCACAAGGCGCTGGATATCTTCAATAACGCTTCGTGAAGGGGAAGGGCCACCCTAGTAGGGGCTGTGGAGTAGATGACGTCAAACGGAGTCCACTTGCTCCTCCAACTCTTCTGCCTGCAGGCCAAGGTTGGACGTGACCCTCTTCAACAGCTCCTGATGTGCTTTAGCATCATCCAGAGGAACCGGGTGAGGAGGCTGCGTGATGGCGTCGTCCGGTGACGAGGAGGAGGCCGGTACCACGAGTTCCACGGCACCCATTGGTGGTCCAGCAGGCTTTTCCTCTTGGTCCACATGGACTTGCGGGAGCTTATCCCCCGGGGACTCAGGCACCGGAGGGGGTTGGTGGTCAATGCCACAGGCCTGTCCGAGGCTCCTGATGCCGAGCAGGCAGGCTGGGCAGGCTGGGTGAACCCCCACGGGTGCTGGGGTACCACAGGCCCAGCCACTGGGCCTGGGGCAGGTTTCAGTACCGACAATACAGGCTGCACCGAGGGTCTGGGAGGCTGCCCCACTGATATGAAGCCTTCCTCCATACCGGAGCCATATGCGGAGCGATTGCTGCCCAGTGACCTGGATCCACTGGAGCAGTGACCCCATGCCTGGTGATAATCACGGTCATGTTTAGAGGAGGACAGGTCCAAGCAGGACGTGCCCCTTAGTGGGGACCTCGGTGACCAGTAGCACTTGCCAGATCCGCGACGGGAAACCGGCGGTCCACACCTGGCGCTTCGAGACTGGTACCAGGACTAGGAGTGGGACCTGGAGGTATCACAGGCCAGGCGCTGGGGGGAGATCTCCCCCAGTACGGTGACACCCGTCTTGGGGAACGTTGGCGGGGCTTGCAGCTGTGGTCCTCTGATCGTTCCCGGGATGTGTAATAGTGTTCTGGTGACGTGAAGGGCCGGTCCCGACGTTCCTGCTGGGTAGCGCATGCCTCTGTGGGTCTGTGCCAGGTAACCGGCAAAGTCGGCCTCAAATCCCACTGCCATTGCCCAAGGTCTGGTAACCGTAGCGAGCGCCAATGCATCTGCATCCCTAACTTCAAGGCATGACTGTTTCGAGCGAGTGAATGGTGGCAGGATGTCCCTCACAATGGGGAGCAGTACGGTTGGAGCGAGGGCGGACAGAAAGGTACCAAGGCGGGCTTACCCCAAGGTATGGGCACCGCCGGGGCTGGTGTTGACGGCACTGGGAGCATCAGGATTTCCTGCACAGCCTGGAGCTCTTCAGGCATAGACGGCACCAGAAGTTGATGAAAGCTTGCCTCTGTATCCAGGCTTCCAGGCAAAGAACGGGATGGGCTGCATCGCTTGACGTGAGCTGAGGCCCAACTTCCCGACAGGGGAGATGAGCCACCTGATGCAGGTCTTAGCTCACCCCCAGCCCTGTTCTTCCCCTTGCGGGGAGTAGGAGACCGTCCCCTATCCCGGCCCTCTTTGACTTGTTGGCCAGGGCTATGGATGGGGATTGGTGCCAGCTCGTTGATGGCAGCGGCGGGGCACTACGCACTGATGCCACAGGTGCTGGGTGCTGAGTCAGACCTTTGCTCCGGGGCCAGAGTGAGCGCCGACTCCATCAAGAGCACTTTGAGTCTGATCTCACGCTCTTTCTTGATCCTAGGTTTAAAGGATTTGCAGATTCGGCACTTATCACTTGTGTCCTTCACCGATGCACCAGAGACGGCTACTCTGTGGATCGCTCACGGGCATGGACCGTTTGCAGCGACTGCAGGGCTTAAAGCGATGAAACAAACTAACTACTGCTAAGGGCTAACTAACTCAATTACTATGTATACTAACTTTACAAGAACTCTAGTTCGTATGAACGAAGCCTAAGCAACGCTAGTAAGAGCAGCAAACGTTCCCTGCACCATCACTGGCAGCAAAAAGAAACTGAGGGTGGGAGGAGCTGGCGGCGCCCCTTATACCAGGCCATGCTGGTGCCACTCCAGCAGGCGCCAGGGCCACTCCCCAACAGATACTGCTGAGGGAAAAACTTCTGGCACCAGTGCATGTGGCGAGCACATACACCTAATGTGGAATGGACATGAGTAAGCACTCAAAGAACTACAATTCTCTCATAGGCAGATAGTGTTTTTCAGACTTATAGATCCAAAGGCCAGAAGAGACCACTGAAATCACCTAGTCTGATCACCTGCATACACAAGCCATAGAAAAAACGGTTACTCACCTTTTTGTAACTGTTATTCTTCGAGATGTGTTGTTCATGTCCATTCCAAGCAATTGTGTGCGCACCGTGTGCACGCCAGCCGGAAGATTTTCCCCTAGCAGCGTCCGTAGGATCGGCGTTGGCGCCCCCTGGAGTGGCACCTCCACGGCGCCCTATATAGGGGCCCGCCGACCCTCCACCCCTCAGTTCCTTCTTGCCGGCACTCCTACAGAGGGGCACGAGGGTAGGTATTGGAATGGACGTGAACAACACATCTCAAAGAACAACAGTTACAAAAAGGTGAGTTACCGTTTTTAATTCGAGTGATTGTTCATGTCCATTCCAAGCAGGTGACTCACAAGCCTGAGTTTAGGCACTGGGGTTGGAGTTTACTGCAGATTGGAGCACTGCATGGCCGAAGGCTGCATCGTCTCTGGCCTGGTGAGTGATGGCATAGTGCGACGTGAAAGTGTGGATTGAGGCCCACGTGGTAGCTCTGCATATTTCCTGTGTTGGGACCTGAGCCAGGAACACCACGGAAGAGGCCTGTGCCCTTGTGGAGTGGGCCGTAATTGGCGGGGCAGGCACCTTGGCCTGATTGTAGCATTCGCGGATGCAAGCCGTGATCCATGCGGAGATATGGTGTGAAGAGACGGGGAGCCCCTTCATCCTGTCTGCAACAGCTACGAAGAGTTGGGTTGACTTCCTGAACGACTTAGTTCGTTCAATATAGAATACCAGTGCCCTGTGAACATCTAGGGAATGAAGCCTACGCTCCGCATTGGATGAGTGTGGCTTAGGATAGAACATGGGGAGAAAAATGTCCTGCCCCATGTGGAATTCGGAGACCACCTTAGGAAGGAATGCCGGGTGCAGCCTGAGTTGGACTTCGTGTTTGTGGAAGACAAAGTATGGAGGCTTGGACATCAGTGCTCTGAGTTCCGACACCCTCCTGGACAAGGTGATAGCCACTAGGAATGCGACCTTATATGAGAGAAAGAGCAGAGAGCACGTAGCCAGGGTCTCAAAGGGGGGCCCTGTGAGGGCGGAGAGGACCAAATTGAGGTCCCAGGCTGGGGCTGGTTGTCGAGTATGCGAGAACAGTCTATCCAGGCCCTTGAGGAAGCGACAAACCAATGGGTTCGCAAAGACTGAACCACCTTGAGCTCCTGGGTGGAACGCAGAGATGGCCGCCAAATGGACCCAAACCGAGGAGAGGGAAAGTCCACGGTGTTTCAAATGAATCAGGTAATCCAGGATGAGAGTGATCGGAGCGAGCAATGGAGCTTCTCCCTACTGTTCGGCCCAGATGGAGAAGCATTTCCACTTGGCCATGTATGTGGCCCTGGTGGAGGGTTTTCTGCTACCGAGGAGGACTTGCCTGACCTGCTGTGATCATTGCATTTCCACCAGGTTTAGCCATGGAGCATCCAGGCTGTGAGGTGGAGCAACTCCAGGTTCGGGTAGCGGAGGCGGCCCCAATCCTGTGTGATCAGGTCTGGGAGCAGGGGCAATGTGAGGGGCGCCTGTATCGACATGTGCAGCAGCGACATACCAATGCTGGCGTGGTCATGCCGGCATTATCAGTATGACGCGAGCATGCTCCCTGCGGATCTTGAGGAGCACCTTGTGGACCATGGGAATTGGGGGGAAGGCGTAAAGCAGGCCGTCTTCCCACAAGAGGAGGAAGGCATCCGTTAGAGACCCCAGACTGCGCCCCATGAGGGAGCAGAACTGTCAACACTTCCTGTTGTCCCTCGAGGCAAACAGGTCTATCTGGGAATAGCCCCAGAGACGGAAGATGGAGCGTGCTACGTCTCGGCGAAGGGACCACTCGTGACCATGGAACGAGTGGCTGAGGGCGTCCGCTAGTCCGTTCTGCACCCCCGGGAGGTAGAATGCTGTCAGGTGAGTTGCATTCTGTACACAAGTCCCATAACGCGAGGGCTTCCCAGCACAGGGGAGAGGAGCGTGCACCCCCGTTTGTTTATATAGAACATCACCTAGGTATTGTCCGTGAGAACTGCAACACACCTGCCCGCCAGGCGAGATTTGAAGGTCTGGCAGGCAAGACGCACCGCCAGTAGCTCCCTGACATTGATGTACATGGACAGGTCCTCTGGGGACCAAAGGCCTTGGGTCCTAAGATTCCCCAGATGCGCTCCCCACCCCAGATCCGATACGTCTGTTACCAAGGATAGGGATGGCTGGGGGCTGGCGAAGGGTACTCCTGCGCAGACCTCCCGCTGGTCGAGCCACCACTGGAGGGAAACTAGCACCATTCGGGGAAGCGTCACCACAGAGTCCAGTGCGTCCCTGGCTGGTCGGTACACAGTCGCTAACCTGGACTGAAAAGGGTGCAACCTGAGCCTGGCGTGGCTCACCACATATGTGCACGCAGCCATATGTCCCATCAACTTGAGGCAATTCCTCGTTGTGGTGGTCGGGAAACGTTGGAGACAAAGAATGATGTCGGACATAGACTGGAACCTGGATTCCAGTATATACGCTCTGGCTTCCGTCGAGTCCAGAACTGCCCCTATAAATTCTATCCTCTGGACGGGAGACAGGGTGGACTTGGCCTCGTTCAGCAGGAGGCCGAGCTCGAGGAAGGTCCATCTGATAAAGACCACCTGAGCCTCCACCTGTGTCTTGGAGCGGCCCTTGATGAGCCAATCATCCAGATAGGGGAAACACCTGAATTCCGTGCTTGTGCAGGAAGGCTGCCACGACTGCCAAGCACTTTGTAAAGACCCTCGGGGCCGTTGACAGGCCGAAAGGCAGAACTGCATGCTGGAGATGGGCGTTGCCCACGACAAATCTGAGGTAACGTCTGTGTTGGGGGATTATCGCAATAGAAAATACACATCCTTCAAGTTGAGGGCGGCGTACCAGTCCCCTGGATCCACGGAGGGAACAATGGAGGACAGGGAGACCATATGGAACTTGAGCTTCTTTACAAACTTGTTCAGACGCTGCAAGCCCAGAATGGGTCAGAGGCCCCCTTTTGCTTTCGGTATTAGGAAATACCGGGAATAGAAACCCCTGCCCCGAGTTCCTGAGGAACTTCCTCCACTGCCCCTACAACGAGGAGGGACTGCACTTCCTGCATTAGAAGTTGCTCGTGAGAGGGGTCCCTGAAGAGGGACGGGGAGGGAGACTGGTGGGGCGGGAGGGAGGAAGGAGAACTGGATAGAATATCCCCTCTCTACCGTGCGTAGCACCCAGCTCTCTGATGTGATTCGGGACCAGGCACGATAGAAGGGGGACAGACGTGATGAGAATGTAGGGTTGGTAGGATCCAGAGTCCTGACTGGTAGGTCGTCCTCGACCGCATCATCAAATTTGGGATCTAGGTCCCGGTAGGGGCCGCAGCTGGCCGGAGGGCTGTTGTTGTCTCCTTCTGCCGTTTCTGCTCTGCCTACACATGGCCTCTGTGCGGTTCTGGGGCTGGTATGGTCGCAGGGCTGGCTGCGGTCTGAGTTGCCTGCGCTGGGTGGCTGGGGTATACAGGCCCAGTGAGCGTAGGGTAGCCCTTGAGTCCTTTAAGCTATGGAGCCTCTTGTCCGTCTTTTCGGAGAAGAGCATGGGCCCTTCGAAGGGGAGGTCCTGGATGGTCTGTTGGACCTCATGTGGAAGGCCCGAGACCTGAAACCAGACTCCCCGCCGCATAACCAGCCCGGTTGCCAGTGTGCGGGAGGCTGCATCTGCTGCATCCAGGGATGCTTGGAGGGATGCCCAGGAAATTAGCTTCCCCTCTTTTACTAGAGTGAAAAAACTCTGTTCGCGATTCCTGGGAAGGAGTTCAGCGAACTTGGACAAAGCCGAGCATGTGTTATGGCCATACCGGCTCTCTATAGCCTGTTGGTTGGCTATACATAGTTGCAAACCCCCTGCTGAGTACACCTTTCTGCCAAAGAGGTCCAACTTTTTCGCCTCCCTGTTCTTCGGGGTAGACCCTTGGAACCCCTGATGCTCCCTTTGGTTGGCCGCATCCACAACCAGAGAGTCCAGGGGAGGGTGAGCAAACAGGTGCTCATGGCCCTTGGAGGTACAAAGTAGCGCCTCTCCATCTTTTTGGCCATAGGGGCCAACGAAACTGGCGTCTGCCACAAGGTGCGGGACGTATCAGCTATCATTTTGATCAATGGTAGGGCAACCCTAGATGGGCCCGAGGGGGCCAGGATGTCCACTACCGGATCTGTCTCCACCTCGATCTCCTCTGCTTGGATCGTCAGGCTCTGAGCGGCACACATAAGTAGCTGCTGAAGTACCCGATTGTCCTCTAGGGCCGGTGCCACTGAAGGTCCCGCCCTTGCCTCATCCAGAGAAGAGGAGGAGGAGATCACCTGCAAAGGGACTTCCTCTGCGCCCTCAGTCTCTGCAGGGGCCTGCGGCACACGGTACTGCAGTTGCGTGGCCGATGCGGATGCAAGATGCGGCACCAGAGCCGGTACCGGGGTCGACACCGAAGGACGAGGCGTGCTGGGTGGTGCCTGTGGTATCGGAACCATGGACCCCGCCAGTGCCGGTGTTTGACTAGAAGGTTCCAGGTTTTATTGAGGCACACTCCTGTCGGACGGCGGTGCTGGTGGTGGAGGCATTTGCGCCGGAGCCACCGACATCGAGGAGACCGACGCAGACCTGGAGCGCGGGCCGTGCACCTGTCCCAGGGTCTGATGGTAGGCCCAGGGAGTCCAGAATGGCCACTGGGAGGGCGGTTGCCACTGCTGCTGCCAGTGCGCCGGGTAAGGTTGTTGGCTCGCCTGTGAAGCCGACCTCCTGCTCCTCGATCTACTGGAGCGGTAGGATTCCGCCTCTGAGTTCGAGGTCTCCGAATAGGAGGACCGGAGAGGAGCAGTACCCACTGTCCCCGGGGAGTGGTGCCGTGAGGCTGGGGAACGCTCTCTCTGCGCCGGTGCCACTGGAGTGGTGCGGGGCAGGGACTGGGGCGACATCATGGCCAACTTGCACCTTGATTGGATCGAGGGTCGGGCCGTGTTCGCCGGCTCTTTCCACCAGTGCAGGGAGGCCGGCACCGGGAGGCTTAATAAGTCAGAGGCCACCTCGAACGCCTCCGGCGTCAATGGGAGACGCACATCCTCGCTGAGGTCCGGGGATCTCGACCGGTCCGGACTCGACCGCACCCCCACCGGGGCGGGAGTCAACGGAACCGTGGGAGGATGCGGTTGTGGCACGGCTTGTCCCCATCGCACTCATGGACGCCGCCGGCCGTTTAAGGTCCTGGTGCGGTGATCAGCCCCTCACCGGCCTCTTCTTTTTCACGGGCACCGGAGATGGTGCCAATTTTCTATGTCCCGATTCTCTCCGGTACCGGGACTTAGAGGTCTTAGACTGGGCCTCCTGTCTTGTTAGCGGTGCCGGGGTGCTGCGCACCGAGGATGAGGTGCTGGGCGCCAGATCGGCAGGCTCGGGGTCTGAGTGTGGCCGTAAGGCCGCCTCCTTCAGGAGCACTTTGAGTCTCTGCTCTCTGTCCTTAAGAGTCCTGGAACGGAATCCCCTGCAAATACTGCACAGGTCTCTTTGGTGGCTCTCTCCGAGGCACCTTAAGCAGGAAGAGTGCGGGTCACTCTTCGGCATGAACTTCCCGCAGTTCTTGCAGAGTTTAAACCCTGGGGACCTGGGCATGCCCCAGCGGGGCGATGAGTACATTGGGGGAAGCCCCCCAACAACTATTAACTATCTATAACTAACTCTAAACTATGAGTGGGGAAAACTATATACACTTAAACAGGACACTGCTATGCTTGCTGCAAGAGCGAGCAAAGTTCCAGCTAGCCGTCACCGGCGGTAAGAAGGAACTGAGGGGGTGGAGGGTTGGCGGGCCCCTATATAGGGCGCCGTGGAGGCACCACTCCAGGGGGCGCCAACACCGACCCTACGGATGCTGCTAGGGGAAAATCTTCCGGCTCGCGTGCATGCGGCATGCACACACCTGCTTGGAATGGACATGAACAATCACTTGAAGAAGAACTTCCCTAAACTAATTCCTAGAGCATCTCCTTAGGATCGTGTTATACTTTTCTCTGCTAGATTAAAGAGCCCACTATTAAAAGTTTGCTCCCCAGGGAGGTACTTAGAATGTAGTCAAGTTATCCCTTAACTTTCTCTTTGTTAAACTAAATACACTGAGCACTTTGAGTCTATCACTCTAAGGTATGTTTTTTTTAATCCTTAGTCGTTCTTGTGGCTCTTCGCTCAACCCTCTCCAATTTACCAACATCATTCTTGAATTGTGGACACCAGAACTGGACAGTGTTCCAGTAGTGGTCACACCAGTGCCAAACAGAGAAGTGAAATAACCTCTTTTCTCCTACTTGAGATTCCTCTGTTCAGGCAGACAAGGATTGCATTAGACCTTTTGGCCACAGCATCACACTGGGAGCTCATGTTCATCTGATGATCCTCCTCACCACCACCCCAAAATCTTTTTCAGTCACTGCTTCCTAGGATAGTCCCCCAGCCTGTAAGTATGACCTATGTTTTTTGTTGGCAGATATGTTTACATGTAACCATATTAAAATGCGTATTTTTTGCTTATGGCCAGCTTAACCAAGTGATTCAGATCTCTTTATCAGTGGCCTGTCCTCTTTATTATTTACCACTCCCCCAATTTTGGGGTGATCTGCAAACCTTTATCAGTGATGACTTTGTTTTCTTCTAGGCCATTAATAAACATGTTAAATAGGATAGGGACAAAAACAGATTCCCCACAGGATCTCAATACACACATCTGTTTGATTATTCCCCATTTACAATTACATTTTGAGATCTATCAGGTAGCCAAATTTTAATCCATTTACTTACCAGAGTAGCTCTTGTTCTCTCTATTGCCTCCACAGAACCATGTTGTAGGATTGCATGCCTGGTCTCACAAACCTTTTGTAACTCGATGGGCAGTTGGGCACTCACAAATTCCTAAAGCTTAATAGTGCCTTGACCACAGACACCCTCCAGTCCTTCTCTTCCTCCAGGAGCTTTAGGGGTGAAGCAAAGAGGAGGGCCAGTGTGGATCTGTGGAGGTGATGCTGTTGAAGAATGTGTTGGTGTGGTAGACTACCCTTTTTTGCTTTCATAACATTGCCTCAACAGCACTATGCCATAGAGAACTAGCTAGCAGTGACAGTCATCAGGAGGTGGGCTGAGACCACCACTTGTCGAACATTAGCTAAAGCCCTGCCCTTGTTCTTTGTGAGAATAGTGATTTGTGAAGGTGTGAACCAAACTCCATGGAGTAGTGGGTTTTTGACATAAGATAGGGCCCCACCTCAGAAGTTATCTGGGGATTGGGGCTATCCCAGGTGAGCACACAGATATCTCCAGAAAGCAACAAAATCACAGCACATGGTGCTGTACAAATAATACAAGGCAATAAGAATTCCATGGGCTCAGCCTGCTCTTCTTAGCTACTCATGCCAACAAAAGACGTACATCAAATAGTCTATTTGAGTGAGAATACAACTCTGTAGTCTCTATATCCTAGAGCCTCAATCAAGAAAAATGCAGCTTGAGACAAATAAGTTGATCTGACGCCCCCCCCCCATTTCTCATAGAGCTTGATCAGTACTGTATATGTCAACTCAAATTCCCTTGTGGAGAGAGTTTGGTAACTTAACTAGTCAACTTGAAGGCTGACCTTGTACTGGATATGTGTATCCAAGACAGGTTTCCCACACACTGAGGGTTTGCAGAAAGTAAAATTTGATGGAATAGCTGGCTGAGCTGTTGCTCTGAAGCAGGATGGAGCTAAATTTAATTTGAGGGTTAAGGGTCGCCAACAGCACTGCCCTGACTCCAATTTTTAATCTTGCTATATTTCTTCCTGGTCCATTTACCATGATGTGTGAAGACCCATGAAAGCGCCTCATCCCAACACTGATGCATCTACAGTTATTTTTGTGGGGAGCATCTCATCAGTACTTTCCCTTGGGATAAAATTAGCTTGCGCCACCATCTCAAGGATTATAGTTACTTGTGCAGAGTGTTACCTTGTGCCATGGATTCTTCTTGGCAATCCACGGTATTAGGATGGATTACAGGTCTGATGCAGGACAGCTAACTGAATTTGTGTCTGCATGTATTAGGCCCAGAAGTTTCAGCAGCTGACAAATTGGGGCGGTTGGGATTTTGTACAGAGGATCTGCACCCAACTTCTTAATCTCCTGGATCATGAGATGGGTTGATCATGCCACCACTCCTTTTCTGTGCCCAACATTCACAACTATTCTGGCTCTCTGTTGTGGCAGGGTCTGAAATGCTGAAGGTTGGAAAACATCCCCTTAAAGTAAGAAACGGAGGATGTATGTATGAGATGGCTGCTCTTGTGGCTGCCTAAGAAGCACTGTAATCCTCCTTTATACTATACTTAAAGACAGAAACCTTAAGTGCCTACCCTTCCACAGGGATTACTTTGGTATGGGAAAATTTGTAACTTTGTAGCCTTTTATAACAACTTTGTAGGCTTTAGTAACATGACTTTCGATTTTCCTTATTTTTTAGCTGTCACCATTTTTAATGTTTTCCCCAAAGAGGAATGTCTGTTCATTTAGACGTGCAGAGTATCTATTGGAAATGACTGTCAACGATCCATGATACAGCCACAATAGCCTCCAACCAAGTGGCTAGGATGCAATCATTCTGCAGAGGGTAGCTTCTAGTGTTCTCTCTAAGGGATCCTTTGGTAAAAAGACTCCCTTGCCCAAGCTGATCGTGATGTCTTTTGTCAGCAAGGCCACAGCTGTATCAACCTTAAGCACCTGCAACTTACACAACTTCTAAAATGTGTTTTTGTTCAGCCTTCATGTTTTTCTAAGTGTTTGTTTAGATCTCCTGATATTCATAAAGTTGTGGAGGAAAAATCTGCAACCATCCTAGCTTGAATAGGTTTTGAGGCCTTCTTCCTCTATCGCTAATGTGGCATCGAAATAGGTAGATGGAAAGAATTTGGTTCTGATTTGGTCATGTCTGATATAGGTAACTTGCCCTGTGCGAGGGCAGGATGTATGTGTGTACAAGAACTACCACTTCTGGCTTTTTCAGTACTTAAGGCCTTTTAGTGTGTTTCAGCAACTATTACTGTCTAAAGAAGCTTGTGTAGCAGTGGGAGAGTGGTATCTTGTGCTGTTCAGACATGGTTCCCTTAATTGCTCTTAGGTGGGGCAACTGTATGTTGTAAGTCCTCAACTGGGGGCAGACCAATCCAATAGTGTCACTGGGCATTGTTCCTTTGGGGGCAGGAAGAACCACTAGGGAAGCAGACTGGGAAACTCCCTAAGCCAGTTAGCTCCCATTTAAGTACTTTAGGAGAGACCTAAGTATCCTAGGTCCTTTTCAAGTAATGTGTTTGGTACATGAGAAGGGTTTTGCACTGAGTGTTCCTTGGGTGCCCCTGAATGAGAGCTAGAGTCCTTTATGTATCTTTTTCTGGACAGAGGCCACCCTGAACACTCCCTGTGCTGTGTGGAAATGGGGGGGAAGGGAAAAGGCTCCTCTCTAGCCTTTGAGCCCTTATGCCAGCTTAAGATAGATATAGCCCCTCCCCCCTTTCTGATGCAGCCTGGGGAGGACTTTGCAGATATTGTATAGAGGACAGCATGCCTGACAGAAGGCACTCCAGGAGGGTCTGTGCTTAGATCATTTGCCTAACAAATACAAAATGCTACCCCTTGTAGGGAACAAGGGAGAAGAATGGGTTTCACTTGTTTTTGTTCCCATCAGTTGTCCAGAAAATGTTAGTTCCAGAAAAGTTGACTCCTACCATGTCAGTGGAGAACTTCAAGGTAACACAAGATAGTGCTGTGACCAAACAGAGTAGATGGTTAAGCAACAGTTTGAGTTTCCTCTGCAGCAAGGCAACAAACCAGTATTGCAGACTAGTGGTGCCATGAAGCAAAAATATTTGAGGTGCTGATCCCCTTTGTTATTCATATAACATTTTATTAAGAACCAGAAGAGGGGAGGATGGACGTACCCAGCCATTCTCTTTGGTGAAACCCAGAAACAGAAGGTCCAAGCCAAAGTATTTTTAAAAGTGTTAAACAGGTGAGTGCATCAAGACTGCTTCATAACTCACGTTGCTTCTGTTAAAATTAACCAGTTTAAGCAACTTACATCACTTGCATGCTTCACATCTAGTGAGACAGGAGATTGAAAAGTCAAGTTTTCAAGCGCAAAGTATGGGTATATGGTATAAATGGCATTTTTTAAATGGTAGCTTCAGTAAAGCTATTTCCTCTCATAGCAAACACTTTTTAGGCCCAACTACCACCAATTTTCTGAGAATTTCTGTATAACTTATTACAAATAAACTGCCACTTGCTTTTCCCAGGAAGTACTGAAAGAATCTACATTGGTTTAACACATATTAATGCTATCCTGGGTAATTACAGGTTATTTTGAACTCTGCCATTTGCAAAACATTTTTCACAACCAGTACAAAATACACTAATGAAACCTTTTCAGACTACGTTAAGTGTCTACATAAAAATGGCACCTTCTATGTCTATTGTGGTCCTGCCCCAAAGCCACAGATCAAGGCCTCCTCATGCTAGGACTGGTAATGCATAAACATTATACTCAGAAAAAACTTGCAACTAAAGCTCATTGAAAACATCCAATCCCTGATTAATGTTAGGTCTGCTTACTTTAGTAACAATACTTTTTACAGCTTTCCTCCTGTTAGCCCTGTAGAATTAACATAGCTATTGGATATGGATTTGATTCCTTGTGCATAAGAATTATTCCATTGTTACACCAATGCAAGTACAATGAGAGTTTCACAGGTGTCACTAAACCCTAATCTCTACTTCATTTTCCTGTGGGCACCCTCCCTCTTGCCCCCCACCCCATTGCATCAATAAAATGGTCATTTGCCTAGCAAAGAATTACTTAATGTAATTTACTTAATTTCTTCACAGCAGTGTTAGGCTTAATTCCATTTTTAAAAAATTCCTTTGAGAGTCTCAGTTAAGGCACTATACACATACAAATAACTATTATGGTGGGAAGATTTGATGGCTTGGGAATTAAAAGGAAAACTAATTTCAGCTCAAAATTTAGAAGAGTCAAAACCCTAAAAAAATTAGTTAAAAATGCAATAAAAATATTGTAAACATTCCTCCTCCATACTGTTGTGTCCAAAAATTTTGCTAGTGCACAAGCTCATGTAAATGAGGGAAACTATTTTAATTTTCTAAATTTTGTCAATGATTTTCTGATGGTTTCTTTGGAGACACTTACTTCAAATTGGAAAACCTTTCTGCATGTGACCAGAGCGCCATCTGTGCATATGTTTTACAAATCTAAAACTGAATGACATGCAAAAAGAAATGAAGTAAATTAACTTCCACAGTTAAGAAGTAATAGTTAAGTTTAATTAGTTGATTGTGAAAAAATTAGCAAGAAATACTAAGTCAATATAAAGTATAATCTAAATCTAGTCATGAGAGCTGGATGATTCAGGAGATTCTTGGAATATGGATCTTCTCCATCTCTAACTCACTGGTTAGAATTTAGCCCATAGCAGTAGTAGTACCTTTTTATTATCCATATGACATGTAAATGCAGAATAAAAGACATGAAAATCCATTTCAGTGTAATTAACTTTATTTTGAGGAAGAAGAGGTTTATATGTAACTGTAATTTTTCTATCCATACCAGCAACTTCAAAAGGACTGGAAACTAGAACTTCCTTAACCATCATTGCAATATCAACATGAGTTTGTATGAACAGCAAATTATATAACTAATTGCTATGTTCAATAAATATTTTTTCTCCTGCACTGATTAAGGGGAAACACTACTTTGAGTTCAATTAAAAAAAATCAGTTAGATTTGTATGGTTTTAACTTCAAATGTTATCCATTGTATAGCAGTCTAGAAACTTTTCATCTATAAAACACAATCTTGATCTTCAGTGTATAAGAATCTGTTTTTCCAAAGAAGTTAAACCAAATATGAAAATTTGCTATAGCTCTAATATTTCTACACTCAAAGCAATTTAACCAAAAAAACCCATCAGGTTCATGACTATCTAGTGAAATTTGCCATTACAGAAAAGGTTCAGAGATGTTGCTTATTTTTCAAAATTAACAACCAAGCATTAACAGAAAGATTAACAAGTTTTTTTTTGGAAACACAGGTTTATATTAAAGTAGCTGAGTGTGTATATTACACACAACATGCAAGCTTTAAAAAACATCAATGCTCTCTTCTCCTCATTAGATTAGCCAGGAGTACAATTGTTTTAAAAACAAAAACAGAATGACTTACAAAATGTAACAACACTTTGGGATTTCTATTTAGTTTTGCTTAAGATGTTTAACTACACAAAACTACAACAATTACGATTTTAAGAGTATTACAATAAAAGGGGGTGGAAAACAGCAATACTTCAACTGAAAATATGTATCTTCTAAATGAACCAAAGGTCTTATAAGAGAGATTTGAGGGGAAAGGTGGGGGGAGACCAAAGGGAAACTAAGGGCAGAATTTTATTTAAAAATCAGGTCCACAACTGTAATTCTTCCGTTCTTCAGTAGCGTCCTGGAAAAAGATATCAATATTACTATAAAAATCATGAATATTTAAACATTCAAACTTGCAATAGCAGAACTTACACCAAGGCGAATTTTCTGTTGCCACATTCAAGATTTCTCATTCATCACGAGTCTATTTTCCATTAAAACTAACAATCAAGTCTAGATGCACTAGCATGGTTTAATATGAACTATTTACATATACTTACTTGGGCTATAGGAGCGGGATCTTGACCGTGATCGATATCGGCTATAATAAGGTGAAGGTGATCGTCTCCTTTAAAGAGAATATAAAGTTTTTGCTTTGTTATGAAAGTGTCTTTATACAATCATTTCTATGTGATGCAGTTGTTCCCTTGATGGTGGAAGATTGGACTTTATGGTTGATTTAAATCTGATTTGGCAGAGACTCACAATGAAATATTTAAGGAGCTCCTAGCTTCTCTATTTCAAGTATTGTATTTAAAAACTTATGAGTTTTATTTAGAATATATTTATTATCCTATATGGTGCTCCAAAGTGTGCACAGCACTTCTGCAGACATGTAGAAACAAGTCCTTTCCCCCAAAGAATTTAGTTTAACTAGACAACTTTGACAAAGGAGAAAGATTTTTAAATGGATCTGACCTCATGCTTAACCATCCCTTTAATGGCTTTTATTTTCAATATGACACATTTTCCATTTTGTTTTAATATTTCCCTATTTTAATTTTATTTGCATCCCTGCCTATTTACCTCCATTCTTATTAGCTTGGGTTCAGAGATCTTTTTTCTCCTCCTCCTGATTCTGAAACCTCACCTTTCTATTACATTAGCCTTTCCTCCAGTTCCCTACTGACATTATTTCCCTTTCTCGCCCCTTACTCCTCTAGAAAGGAGTATGTGGACTGCTGAATATGTTATTTAGTTGACAACTGTATTAGCAAGACTACAAGGCTTGCTTTTGCTGATGTCTCTCCTAGCGGTCACTTGAAATGTAAGGACACCAGATATGTATGAGAGTTGCAAGTCTCCGCACAGCAACTACCTTTATTTAAAAAATTAAAATGGAAGAATCAAATAATTAAACTGGTTACCTGTACCGGTAGTCATATTCTTCATATCTGTCATATCCTCTGTCATATCCCCTATCATAATAGGAATCACGACGACGACCTGCTCCTCCTCCTCCTCCACCACCACCACCACCACCGCCACTGCTATTAAAAAAAAATAATAATAAAAAAGAATAAAATGGAAGCATAAAAGTCTGCATTCTTTCTTGTGAATTTGAAGTTCTCTAAAATTATCTTCAGCGTCCTCAAGTGACAACTACTCACTGTACACTTTGTGTCTCAGACTCAGTAGATTCCACATTTAAAGAAAACCACTAAGTGCATTAATTAACCAGAGTGGGGTGGGGTTTAGACATTAAAGAACCCTGGAACATTTCCCCCCCCCTTGTTTATTTTTAATATATTCTTCACTCAGTAAGCTCTTGTGCTTTAAAAGCCGTTCACCTTACATAAAAATACCATACTAAAACAGGGTTTAATAGTGCACCTCAAGATCAACCGCAACAAACCCACCCCCACGGCATGCAAATACATTAGAGATAAGGAACAGCTTTAAAAAGGCAGACGACTGAAACCCTCACAAAAAAATATGCTGCTGGTAGTGATCTACAATTCAATCAGAGTTATAGCATTTAGTTTAACTTGATCTGAGGTCCGTTTACACATAATGAAGAGTAAATTCCTTACTGGGTTGGCCTGCCCATGTAGATGCCCGGGGTGGGTGTGTGCGCTCTCTTGGTGATGGAGTAATCCACGCGGATCCTCCTGCCGTCCAGTTCCATGCCATTTGCATGTTCCATCGCCTGCAGGGGAGAGAGGGGCCCGGCCATTAGCTCGCGAGCTGCTACACCAGTTAATGAATAGGCGATAAAATGAGCGCTTCGCTTTTCAGTACGCGGCACAAGCCCTGAACAAACGGGCTCTATTCAGGCTGGTTACTAGCGCCCCGCTGTGGCGAGCGGCGCGTCTCGCCTCGCCCGCCGACATGCCCGTCGCAGGCGGAGTGTTGCAGCGCTGCCTGCACTGGGGCGCTGGAGTTACGTGACGCGCGATCCCTGTGCTAGCCATGAACAGACTGACGCTTTCCCCGCACCACTTCGATATTTAGCCAACCAAAAAGTTAACAGGCAGCAAAGCAGCTTTCCCTGTAAACGGCATCCTTCCGAGCTCCGCGGAGGGGACGGGCTCATTCAGAAGCCGCGCACACAGTTGCTTCCTACGGGGTGCATATGGCCGCATTACTGCTAGTCGGCTGCCATTTCATGCTCTCTCTGCCTCCTGCCATATCCCTTACAAGGACCTACTCCAGCAGAGCTTAATAAAATGGCGGGTTCAGCCTACATGGATACTTAATTACAATCTTCCTCCCTACTCGCACTCCGTGCAGCTCGCTAAACCGATACACATCAGGGACTGTGCTGGAAGGCTGCACCCCCAGACAGGGCTGGGACCCGCGCACGCACTCAGTGGCCCCCTGATACTCTCGTGTTTTGAATCAATACAATGGCCCCTTAGCCCTATTCCAAATCATGCAAACTGGAATTCAAACGGACATAACACACTTTAAAGAGTTACGTGAATATAATCTAAGACTTCAGTCAAAGAGATCTGAGTTAACCACTATTATTTAAATAGATTTATTAGGTTACAATTAAGTGTTACTTGCAATAAGCAGCAATTTCTGGCCCCTTCCATCTAAGGGCATTCTCAGCTGCTAACAGGTCTTTGAGCCGTCAGTTCATACTAACAATTAGTTTACCTGATTTAGACTGTATTTTCCTTATGTGAGCTAAATAGAGTTTTATTAAAATTAGCATACCAAATTGTGTTCCCATTTTATGGATTTTAAGTTAAATATCACACACATCACATTTGAGGCTGTCTTGTAAAGGATGCACAAAGCATTCTCTTTTACAGACAGAAAGTAACTAAAATTGTAACCATTAAAACAAAATTAGATTCAGATATGATTCCTTTTCAAATCCCTTTTTTGGCCAACAATAATTTTATAATTTAATGTTAAATCAATGCAATGGGAAACTACGAGACAACACCACATGGTCACTGTTTATATCCCTACCAAACTGGAAATAACAATTCTCCACTAACCTATTTAATCCCACTTAGTTTGCTCTTTTAGAATGCTGTTTAAATCTAGACAATATCGCCACCTAGTGATATCTATTCAAGCTCAAAAATAGCTCGATTTAGTACAGGGAATAGCAGAGCAAAACCATGAGAGGATAATGAGCAAGATCTCAATCTTTCAACATTACACTTAAACATATAAATACAAGGTTTGAAGTGGTTGCATACCCATAATCTTTTAAACTACTCCTATAATGTCATAAAATAAAAATGCTGTTCAGCAAACATGCAGATATAAAAAAGCAACTGGCTACAGAACACCCTAGAACTCAACAGGATTCTCAACTGATGTCATTTTGACCATAGGCATCTCAGAAACGTAATAAAGTTAAATAAGGTATAAAAGATGGGGATATTTTATATTCAGGTGGAAGATATTTTAAAATCTCAGGAAATATGAGCCAGCAGTTTTGGCCAAGTCTAAACAAAGCAAATATGGCTGAAGTGACAGCCAGTTCAACAAATACATTCTTTTGATTGAGGTTTTTGTTTAACTGAAGAACTAACTCTACAGGAAAAGGAACTTCTATTTCAAATGACCCCTTCCCTTTCAGGGAGAAGTCAGCCTTGAAGATGATCCATTTGAGAACTGCTATATAACAACAACATACCGAACTGGCAAATAAGGTTTGAGAGTGTTAACTGGAACAACGTCTTAGAACTACCATTAAGATATGTACCTATGGATCTCAAGACAGTGTAATTCTAGTGTCTTATTGTGACCCAAAATATTCATAAACTGTTTCCCCAAAGAACATTAAGTACATTACACTTTAATATAAAGATTCAACAGTTTAATTTGTAATTCCACAGCTCTTCAGAAAACCTGATTGGGCTGCTTAATGTCCCAAATAAATGTTTATCAAAAACAAAACACAGACACCCTCTCCCCCACCAAAAAACCCACAAAACACAAAAATAAAAAAGCTGAACTGTCAGCATCATGGTCAGGATTTTTAAAGTAACTTTAAAGCGATTTCCTTTTTACCTATGTGTATTACAGTTCTTATAGATATCTATTTACCCGATAAGCAAGAACAATGGGGCCTAGATTTTTTTAAAAATGTAATTAAAGTCAAATAATTTTCATAACCTGATCCCACCTTCAGCCACTAGCAACTCTTCTTAATGATGTTCTGTACCATTTTTAACAGCACAAAGCAACTAACAAAGAAATCCATGCAATGATAGTTCATGGGCTGCTTTTGGCATCAAGGACTAAGAACACCGGTCTACAATTTTTGAAAAGTCGTCTGCTTCAGAGATAAAATGTGCTATTTATTATGTATTTTGATGTGCTGAATTCAAATATGACAATTAAAACAACTGATTGGCTACTGTTTCTAAAATATTTAAGTTTTACATTTTATGTCTATGTATATTGTGTAGATGATAGAGTTTTAATCATAAATTGTAAACCTAGGTCTTTTCATGTGTTTATGGTTGCTTTACATGATATTTCACCTGTCCTGTTTATGTAACACTTTAAAAATCAGCAAAAGGGTTATATAAATAAAATTTATTATGAAACAAAAAGGCAAAAAACTATTCTGTACATAGTTCAGTCCTATTCAGTGTCTACTCGGCGCTTCTTGGCTTGTCTCTTGTATTCATTAAATGGAGCAGCTCTTGTCCCTGCCCAAAAATAGTCTGCAAGCATTGAAGGGCT